GCTGGAGCCGCACCGCCACTGCTGTTACCGAAGCTGAAAGGGTTCGACGGTGCAGCGGGCTTGTCAGCTGGAGCCGCACCGCCACTGCTGTTACCGAAGCTGAAAGGGTTCGACGGGGCAGCGGGCTTGTCAGCTGGAGCCGCACCGCCACTGCTGTTACCGAAGCTGAAAGGGTTCGACGGGGCAACGGGCGCAGAATTGGGGCCTGTGCCAGGTGCGGGTTTTGCTGGCAGTGACCCAGTGCCCAGAGAGAAAGGCTTGGGGGGCGCCGAGGCGATTGAAGGCTTCTTTGGGCCTTCATCATCGCTTCCGGCATTCGGTGCAAAACCATCATCCTCGGGAATCACGGCCGGTGGACCGCTCCTCACAAAGCCGCCAGAGCCCGCAGAGTTCCCGCCCTGCACAGTCAACCCCTTACTGACAACGACACCAAAGGAATTCGACGGGGCAGCGGGCTTGTCAGCTGGAGCCGCACCGCCACTGTTGTTACCGAAGCTGAAAGGGTTCGACGGGGCAGCGGGCTTGTCAGCTGGAGCCGCACCGCCACTGCTGTTACCGAAGCTGAAAGGGTTCGACGGGGCAACGGGCGCAGAATTGGGGCCTGTGCCAGGTGCGGGTTTTGCTGGCAGTGACCCAGTGCCCAGAGAGAATGGCTTGGGGGGCGCCGAGGCGATTGAAGGCTTCTTTGGGCCTTCATCATCGCTTCCGGCATTCGGTGCAAAACCATCATCCTCGGGAATCACGGCCGGTGGACCGCTCCTCACAAAGCCGCCAGAGCGCACGATCCCTTGATTGGGACCTTGACCTGAAGACGGGGGCATTTTCTCCATTGTTGTTTTTTCAATCGAAGCATTAATTTTCTTGTTGCGTGTATCTTGCATAATGTAATTGTCAGTGGGCACCCTCTTTGCCGTCGTCTCACCAGAGAAACTTGTGTTTAAAGAGGTCCTGTAGCTGATATTTGAAGATGGAAATGTATTACCACTATCATTAATCGGATGAGCAGATGAAACGGCAAACCTTTCCAAATGCGACATGCGTCCAACCGGAGCCAATACATCTTGTCTTTCACGCTCGCGCTTCAATGCGACGGGGCGACGAGCCAAAATACTTGCCCTGTTCCATGCAGGCGACGAACGAGTGATGAATTCCGGTTGCAGTGACTGGGTTGGTGCGACTGGTAGACTTGTCGGGATACCGCCATTCATATAATAAAAGTTGTATATAATCTGCGGTGTGGACTGCAGTGGTATTGACAGGGACTGTGATGGCATTGGTTGTGACGGCGGTGACGCATCAGGAAAGGTGGTTTCATGGAGGGTAGTTGGTCGCTCTGGCACAGTGAGACTTGTATCGACGGATGAAG